AGGACACGCAACAATGGTTAGCGATGTCGCAGCGATGGAGAGAGAAGGCACAACGATGACCAAGATTTGTTATTGCATAACATCAGTTCCATCTAGTTAAACCTTCGTTAAGCATACCTGTCACCTGTTTCGTGCGATTCCACAGTGATGGGCGGCTGCACCGACGACGGCCTGAAACAACAATACAATGGCGATGGCGGGATCGCGCACGAGTAATGGAGAGCCTCTGGGGCAAGGATGGAGGTTGCCCGGTTGTCGAGAGAGATCGCACAGTGATGGAGTGAAATGGAGAGTGATCACTTAGCGATGGAGGGCGATCGTGCGGTGATGGAGAGAGAAATCTCGCAGCGCTGCGGTGGGATAACACTGGCCAGGGCTTCGATAGCGATGGCCAGCGCTGCGGTGGAGAGCGATGGCGCACCTGTGGAGAGCGATGGCATGGTGATGGAACGCGTTACAATGCAGCGATAGCGATAGCGATGGCAGCGATGGAACAGCGATATCGATTGCGCAACGATGGCGCAACGGTGGATAGTGATGGCACAACGATGGAACAACGATGGACTAGCGATAGAGATGGAACAGCGATAGCGAAGGCAGAGATAGCAATGGCAGCGATAGCAATGGCGCATCGATTGAGAGATGGCGCAGCGATGGAACCAACGTTGCGATGGGAGCTATGGTACCAGCGTTGCGATGGCAGCTATGGTACCAGCGTTGCGATGGCGCAACGATGGCCAACGCTGCGATGGTCAGGCGAGCGCGACGGCTGGGATGGGGGATATAGCTTTGCGTCGCGATGGCGATGGTGCATGGCGAGCGTTGGCGATGGCGATGAGCTAAGCGCATCGATAACGATGGTGCATGGCTAAGCGCATCGATATCGAACGCCGTTGACATTTGCAAAATGTCCGAATGATTGCGACACCGAAGCTTATAGATTTCCGGTGTTTTTGATCTCGGCGCACAACGAATCGTCGCGCCTCGGCGGGAAATTAACCGTCGCCTGGCCTCGGAGCGCAACTAACCGCCTCGGCGCACAACGAATCGCCGCACCTTATAGATTCTTGCGCCTTACCTCGTGCGTCGGATCATGTCGATCGACGGTCCAGATTACAACTGCGAAAATGATATTGCCTGCGCCTTGTTTTCGGGAACTGTCACATCATTGCACTCCGGAGTAAACGAAGATTTTATGGCCACTGGCATAACAGTGGCTCCGTTCATCTGCGCGGTTGAAAATTGTTGATCGACGACTGATAATTTCCGGTACCCCTTACCGTTTATAGGCCCTGGCGTTTTATGGGCCCAGGGGTGCGATACACGAGTCGATTTGGCCGCACCTTGATGGCGTTTTATGGGCCCAGGGATGCGATATGCGAATCGATTCGGCCTCATCTTGATCCCGACGCGAGGCCTGCTGCAACAAAGTATAAAAGGCGTTGCAGCCCTCGAGTTATCCCTTTTGTTGGCGCTCCACAGATCAAGTCGCGCTATCGTTTTCGCGCTCGTTCTGATATTTGATATTCAGCCTCCACCACCTTCCGCCATAGCCCGCTCACTCTTCGCTCTTCGCTCCGTCCGCAGTTGCCACATTGTGTTCGGTTCGCTCTTCGCTCCTCGGTCTTCGCTCTTCCTAGCTCTTCCTTCCTCACTCATAGCTGGTTCGGTGGTTGGTTGCTCGCTCAACGCACGACGAAGGCAAAATCATATAACTTGAGTTGTCCTATTCTGTGTCCGACGTCCGAACACATTCCCAGATGCCCTGTCTGTACCTACAGGATATAACGCCGCAGCCGCGTTCTGTTAAACCCCGAATCAATTCCCGGTTTTGTTGTTTCGCTAGTGGACGTGCTCTGATCTCTTTTCTCCACCCTCCACCTCCGTTCGCCATAGCCGATCCACGTTCCGCAGCTCGATTAACTTTCGCCATAGCCACGATAATGTTCGTATAAAGCTGCTCGATCCCCTTCGCAAGTTGCAGTCGTCGCTGCGCATGGCGAACCCCGAATCAATACCTAGTTGCTACACTGAACACCGAATCATATCCTGATTTTTCGCTCACCTGTCCCTTGTGAGGTCGCCGACCTGATATCTACATATATATATATATATAAAGATATATATACATATATGTATATATAGAGATATATTGCTACACTGAACACCGAATCAATTCCCGATTTTCGCTCACCTGTCCCTTGTGAGGTCGCCAACTTGATATATATATATATATATATATATATATATATATAAATCGGTGAAACTCCGACGAAACAGTTTGTCACAGCCCCTCGTTTGTTGTCC